TACATACATACATGCACATGTGCATGCACGCATAGACGCATACTCGTAGAATATGCGCATTCAGTCATCCAAAGATGTGAATCTTTGTACATACGATTGTATCACACTGCAGGAAACATCGCTACGTGACATCTCCCATATGATGCACGTGTACATTCTGATCACCATTGAACCTCATCCAGTCACTGTATTTGTTGACATGCCATGGTATTGCATTTTCATTTCCTTGGGCAGGCCATGATCTCGCGACCTGGCATCCTGGCCGTTCACAACCTGGTAGACATCAACTGCAAAATCTTGCCTGGCGCTCAGGGGTTCAGGGCGCCGGACAAGAGTCGGGGCTTGTACATATGAAGTTTATGGTTTATGGTTTTGCATCGCTCAGCGCACTCGTAGTGGTCACGAAGCAGCATGTGTTGAAGATGCAGACCACTTCCCGCAGATGTGTCTCTTGTGGTATAGCAATATTTTTTTATAACTGAGTCGTGATATCTCACCAAGTCTGGTAAAAATCAAGGAAACTACAAGAAACGATACTGCACTGCCCTGTTGCAAATGACAGATGGACCAATACAGCTATGTATCACGGTGTCATGGAATTTCTGAGTCACGAGTTTGGGGATCAGAAGCACGGAACGGTACCTAAGGCAACTGCATGACAGAACAACCACATCAAGAACGCCTCCCTATCTATGTGGGCATGAAGGCTTGTAGCTAAGTGCATAAGAACATACATTAATGCCGAATGAAAGAATGCTGCAGAACGTCTTGAAGCACCACCAAACGGCATATCGGAACCCCGAACGAGATGCAAGCCTAATTGGCAAACGCAGCCACTAAGCCAATAGATCGGGACATTCAAGCATATAGTTATCTCCACATGAGTATCTTGTGGAAAGCGTTGGGCGATCGAGAGGTAACAGCCACAACAAGTCTGTTCGAACGAACTAGTTTTGTAGCACTCCGGCGCTTGCGAGACATGCAGGATGCTCGTAGATGCTTACACAGAACACCTCATCCCGGCTCAGGCGCGACATGGAGGACCAGCTGGTCATCCGGTGCCCTTGTTCATCAAGTCTTTTCCTTGTAGCCGTAGTGGACCGAACAACTTCAATCACTAGCAGAGCAACAGTCAGCATCATGCTCTGTTTGTTTCATGCTGTGCCTGTACCTGCCTTTGTTGGTCGACATCGTGTGTTCCGACCATGTCCTCCTGCTGTGCCGTGCTGCCGCGAATACAAGGGCGGGCTTCGTCGCGGGAGTCTTCCACACTTGGCGCTTCCAGGCAGCGGGGTTTAGTTTTGCAAGAACTCGAGATGCAAAGCGAACTGTGTAACCTTTGGGCGGCCCTTCGTGTCAGCCTCTGCAAGGCAAATCTGATGAAAACCGGGCGTCAGTTCGAGGACGGACTTGTGCTTTACGGGTGCGCCACTAAGGAACAGGAATCCTTCAACAGCCACTTGAGCAGGACCCTAGTGAATCTTTTCGCAACATGAACCCGAGAAGACTTGCATGCTCATGCCGTAAAGACATGTAAAGACTATAAAACCAGAGCACATGATACAAAGGTTGGTTTTATGTCGCAGCGTCGAGAATGATGCTCTCCTCCTCTTAAGGGCAACTCTACTATGCCTGAGCCTCATGTTCGCAGCAGATTTGGGTAGAGCTCCCGGGGCAGGTAGGACAGGTACGGGGGGTCGGATTGTACTATCATTTGAGATGCGCATGTAAAATCACGTGCGCATGAGGGACATGGCTTCTGCACTTTCCCGCTTGATCGTGCTTGTAACATTCCGAAGCACGAGGAGCATTTCCATGATATTCAAGACCAGTGGTCCGCGGAGCTGCATGCGCACAGGCGCCTTTGCCTTTTCAGGGATTCGGACTCCTGTGCTTTATGCCAAGGAGTAGACGGGAACGCATACTTGCACCTTCAGCCCCAAAATCTGAAATTTCCAAGCAACTCCGTCGCTGTGAAGCTGCAGCCTTAGCCGCCAGGCGGACTTTCGAAGATCAGCTTGCCGCAGCCGCTGATAAGGTCGGGCGGTCCCGTCAACAAGATGCGAATCTGTATTCCGAGACTCATTGTCATGCTGCGACTCCGACAGCCTTTAATGTCCTTGAACTTAGCATTAGACCATCAGCTGTTTGGGATCTTTTCTCTCGGCCGGGCTGGTCCACCAGGGCAGGTGCTTCAAAAAGTTTGGAAACACTCTTCGTCAGTTCTCATTGTCGCCCGATCGGAAGATTCAAATCTCTAAAGCTCTTAGTGTACCGGCGCAGATGTATGCCCCGAGCTGCTTGCATCTATCTTCCGCAGATCGTCGATGTCTGGATGGTTTTCAAAGCCACCGCATGCGAAGTATTCTTGGCACTCACTTCAATCTCGTGAGTGCCCAATGCGGAAGTTCTGCACAGAGCTGATAGCGCCGCTGCTACAGGAATGCTCTTGAAGCAACTCCTCCCATTTGGAGAAATGTTGAGGTCTCTACAGGACCACCCCCTCCTGCAGCTCTGCATTTTTCCGCGAAACACTGCAGCCTGCTGCGAGAATCTACGAGAATGAGTCAGATATGTAAGGGACGAAGCATGTCATGCCAGTTCCTCGAAAGCCACTGTGAAATAGCCAGACTTGTGCAGAATCCTCATGTCAGTCTGGCATCTTGCGGTGTGCCGGTTCGAACGTGTCCACACGCTGCCTGGCGTATGACCGACTGAACAACTTGCCTTTCAGTGCAGAGTCACGAGTCATTCAGCTTGTTCTCACGTACCCGTATCATTCGCAACATCCGCAAATTCGTGGAGCCAGCAACAGGCTTGGGGTTTTCCTTCGGCGTTGTTGTTTGCCGGGGGCCGGAGATTTTTGGAGATGGGTCACCCGCAGGCAGCCGCGCACAAGGAGCACGTGCGGCAACAGCATGCTGCTGGGACGGCAGTGCGGAGTGTCGTGCATCTGTGAGAGGTTGGTGTAAGTTGCCGCTCGGCTTTCCGACGGCTTCCCTTGTGATGCAGACACGAGCAGTCGGGCGCTGCATTGAGTGGCGACCGAGGCAAGGTTGGAGCCTCTCCCTACTTTCCTGTGTTGCCGAGGATCTGCTACTCCGGCAGTGGATGCTCGGCGATGCAGCGTGCCCGCATACAAGGGGTTTTGGCTTTCATGAGTCATGGCAAAAAAACCGCTGCTGCTCTGCCACTACCACTTGTACATACTGGTACCGTACCCTGATACTATTATTGTTACGATAATTGCTGCTGTTAAGGGTGCTACCGATAATGCCTCCATTTCTGTCCTGCAGTCCGTTGGGGGCCTCCCCCCAGCACCTCTTATCTTAACAGTAGTAGTAGTAGTAGTAG